TAATAAAAAAAAAAAATCCAAAAATCAAACTTCATTCTTCATATAAAAATATTTTTTGATAAAATACTTAAAATATAAAATATATATATAAAAAAATCATTGCTATAAAACCCTTTATGAAAATATATTTTATTATTATTATTATATATATATATATTAAAATATATATAACAAATAACAAAAATAAATAAATAAAAAGATAAATAAATAAATAAAAATAAAACCAGCCTTAATTTTCTTTATGCAAAATATAATTTCTAATTTCTTTCATTTGATTTTTTGGGGTTAAATGTGATGCGGACATGCTCTTCACATATACTGCAAGTTGCCTTCTTTTCTTTTAATGACCTTTTAATTACAGCCTTTCTTACTGGTTTCAACATTCGACACAAAAAAATGAACAGGAAAACTAGTTTTGTAAATGCATTTAACACATTGGGCCAAACACTGAATTAGTATTAGCTACATTACCAAGCAAGAGATGAATCTGCAGTGAAATACTGTGCAGAGTTTGATTTCTGATTATTAGTATTTTGCAGAACAGTCTTAAAGTACGAACTAAAGCAAGAGACTCTAGAAGAGCAGGACAAACCTGCAAACAGATTTCGTGCTGAAGTTATAAATCCACTCACGTTCTTCAGGCCTTTAAGATGATCAGCAGGACGTCTCTCCTCCTCGACCTTCACCCGTCTCTCCTTCTTCTGTTCAAGTCTCCTTATTGTTTCCTGCTGTCTCACCTCCTTTAACTCTCTCAGCTTCTCCTCCGGCTGTCTGTCTCTGCGGTGAAGATGACCTCCACAAACTCCTCCTCAAGGTGTAAATATAGAGCCACAGCAGGAGCAGTGATCAATTCAAAGCATCCAGATAGACTTACAGTGAGATCAGCGGACAGAAGACCTGGAATGACACAATGGACCAGTGCATTGTGGGATAGAGGAGCTGTGGGAAAAGAGATCTGTGGAAACAATGCATTGAGATCTCAGCAATATAAAGCGCTCAGATCTGCATTAAAGCCTCTGAAGAAGAGATCAGATGAGATCCTGCCGCTCGCGTTTGTCTGCAGTCACATCAGCATTCGATTTGGAAATGACCCCCAGATAAAGCTTTTCTCACAAGAAATATTAATAATGTCTCAAACTGTGCAAGTCTTAATATTTATTGCTTTAATATCAGTATTAAAAATATTCTATGATAAAACACCAGTGTTCACAATATTGTTGCCTTTATGAACCTTTATAATTGAAATAAACAATAGTTTCACACACACACACACACACACATAAAATTACTAAAACTTTTACTTCTAAAATTTAAAAAATCTAATCAATCAAGTCAAAATCAGACTACAGTAACTTTTTATTGATTACATAATTACATATTATTGACAAAATGGCAGTAAATTATTAATTCATTGATTCTCTCTAATTTGTATTACTATGCCTTTGGAAGGCTTTTGTCTTTCAAACACATTAAACTGCATAAATTCACGCCATTTTGTGTCTTTTATTCTCAAATAAATTCCCTCTTTATTCCCTCTTCGACATAATATAGAATGCAATAGGTTTTCTTTCAATATGGATATCTCTTATATCGTATGGTGCAAGATTATCCTATTGCATTCTAATTTATGCAATAATTAATAAAAAAAAAAAATCCAAAAATCAAACTTCATTCTTCATATAAAAATATTTTTAATTTGGTGCATTCATGTGTGCCATAATGTTGTTTTTATGTATTATATGTGTAGCCCTAACTAAAATTAAAACAAAAAAAATAAAAATTGTTTCCTTAACTGAAATAAAAACAAATATAAATGAAAAAATGTTTTTTTTGAAATGTTGAAAACTGAAAATTAACTCAAATAAGTTTGTTAAAGTACTGAAATTAAAACAAATAATGAAAGCTACAGTGAATAGAAATATAAAAAAACAAACTGATAAAACATTTTTTCCAGAAAAAATTAACTAAAATTAAAATTAAAGCTGAAAATTGAAAAATAAAAGCCAATTCAAAATATGAATAAATACTATAATATACATAAATAACATTAAATGAATAAAGAAGTTTAAGTTGAAGTACTGAAATTACTAAAACTAATACAGAAAAAAGAATAGCGTTAGATAGAAATATAAAAAAAACAAACTGATAAAAATGACAAAAGCAACAAAATTACTAAAATTGTAAATAAAATTAAAATTAAAACTAAAAATGGAAAAATAAAAGCTAATTCAAAATATTAATACATACTATAATGATAACACTAAATTAATTATGCTTAAGTTTAAAGCTGAAGTACTGAAATTACTCAAATTAATACTGAGATAAAAATAGAGGAAAATATAAATATAAAATAAAATAAAATAGAAATATAAAAAACGGATGAAAATGACAAAAGCACAAATAAAAAGAATAAAAATTAAAACCTAAAATTGAAAAATAAAAGGTAAATCAAAAATATTTATAAAATAATAGTACATAAATAACATTAAATTAACAAGTTTAAGTTTAAATATTATATTTATTAAAACTAATAATGACACAAAATAGAAATATATATTTTTACAATTATACAAATCATAGAATAACACTAAATATAAAATATAACACTAAATTAACATTGGTATGTCACATTTATATTGATCAGTTTTCCCAAATCAACTACAAATGACGCCCATCACAAGCTTTGTGTGTCATAATTGCTTCACATGTTTTTATCTGCATTCTACGGCAGCTTTAAATGCAGCTCATGTAATTTAGAGACTTTATAGTAGTGACTTAGTGTCACCTGCATGAATGTGAGCAGACACTGACGTGTTCGAGTGTACAGTATGTGATTCAGGTAGAGTTTAGGGTGTGAGAGCAGCGCTGCACTCAGCAGGTTATTTATAAGCATTTACTGCCACACCTGCTGCTCAAATACCACAGTAAACAATGCTGCCCACTTCTACTGTTTCATCTGTGACATTGAGACTAAGAATAAACCGCATGACCAGAACAACAGCAGGCCAGCTTTGTCTGTTCCCATTGTGACGAATGAAACACAGGCCAGAAACATGCGCTCAAATCCGTCCTGTTGAGAGACGCATGATCCGAATGTCTGACTGCGTCTGATAATGCGGTCACACACACATTTAAGCAACGAGCTCAACAAATCATGAAAAATGACTTTATTTACTAACCCTCATGTGGTCTCAAGCATGCCAGGACTGCCAAGGACAAAAAAAAAAACACCATAAAAGCAGCATTAATCTTAACAGTAGTGCATATGACTATATTCAAATCTTATGAAGTCATATGATGCTTTGTGCATTGAACAGACTCAAGTTTAATGTTATTTGCTATTTTTTTTTTATCACTGATTATTAACTATCATTTATAAAATGGAGAGTTCCGGTCCTTGATTCTGATTGGCTGAGCCGCGTTCGAAGCTGTTGTAAATGACTCTACAAAGTAACATACACCTTTGTTTACGTTTGTGTGTTGCTCGGCAACCACTTTGTTGGAACCACAACTGTTTCTGAGGAACTACATTGTTTGGTGGAAGAATACTGTTTTTATTAATATCATTACACTTTATTTGCTCTGTTTTATTTTGTGAAACCTTACTACGTATATGGAATAACCGTTTTATAAAAGCAATAAGCCCTGTGAAGCCGTGGTTTGCAATTAATTTATAACAGCTAAGGGGGTTTTAGGCACTCTGCGTCGTGTCTAACAATGCCCCGTAGCTGTTATAAATTCACTGTAAACCACGGCTTCTTGGGGCTTATTGCTTTATCACTATTACAGTTTTTGTCAACATTTAGAATTTTGTTGTATATATATTTTAAATTGTTTTAAGTGTTAGGTTTATTTAATTTTATTCTAGTATTTCAATTTAAACTAAATGAAAATGAGATGTTTTTTTAATGTTATTACAGTTAATGCTTATTTTTTTAAGTAATGAAAATGTCTTTAAATTTTTTATTAATTTAATTTTTTTTAAATTTTTAATTTAATGTAACTTTTTAAAGTTTTATTCAACTTAAACTAGATGAAAATGAGAAATGCTGCTGAAATAAATAAATTCAATTTTTTTTTAATATTTTTACTATTTAAATATTTGTATTTAATATTTAAATTTTAAATAATTTTATTTCAGTTAATGTTTATTTTATTGCAATTAATGATTTTTTTATGTTTTTAGATTTAGTTAATAATAATAGTTATTAACTATAATATCACTATTTTATTTTTGTTCATATTTTGCATTTTGTTGATTTTTTTGTCATATATATATATATATATATATATATATATATATGTATGTATAGATAGATATATTTTTTTCTTTTTATATATATATATATGTATGGATGGATAGATGGATAGATAGATTTTTGTGCTTTTGCAGTTTGACAGTTGTGGTCAATATTAACTTTTTCATATTGAAAGAGGTAAAAAAAAGTTCCCTTCTGTGCTCCTACAGGAGAAAAAACAGCATTTAGAGGTCTGGATCAACATGAGGGCATTTTTGCATGCAGCTGTTTTCTTTTTTTCTTTTAAAACAGCGAGTCAAAGATCACATTAAAATGCAAAAGTGTAGGGAGAGAGAGAGAGTGTGTGTGTGTTAGTGTGTGTGCATCCAGTTAACGCAAACAACGCTTGAAATGTCAAGCTGTTTGGTGATATAGTGGAAAAGTGCACAGGAGAGGAGAAAGCAAATCTGCCCACATGCTAATTAAACGCATTCACGTATCTGCTAGTCCTGCTTCTGCATGAGATGCAAACATTTTCTCTCAACAAAGTACATCAATCAGAGAGCCGATATATAATAATCAGCATCAAGCTCATTGTTACATATCTATTAGATTAATAAAACATCAATGTGTTCACTACAGCCATTTCTGCAGTGCACATAGTAGAGTCAGGCTGATTTAATAAGTGCAAACCTCCTGTAAAATGAAATGACATGTACTCGTATCAGATAGAATTGAGTCGGGTCGGGTTTGGCAGGTTAACATGATCCGGTTAACCCCTGCTGGTAGAAAACCATAGTTAAAATCACCATTGTCAATCGATGGGCAATCAGTATCTGGATATGATGGATAATAATGGAAAAAGGTTATGCACCCTAGTTTTCCTCAATGCAATGTCCATCTCAGCCGTCCGTCTGTGTGAGAAATAGATGGACAGATACAGCAATCGATGGATGAAACTCCTGAAAACACATCAACAGCATTCAGCTGAATAATGGCACTCTTTATTAGTGTGTTTTTAGAGCTACTTTACAGCTGAAATCATATTTTTTTCATAACTGAGGAACCTAAAATCCTGCATGAATTTCACTCATTTCTACACTAAAAAACAAGTAAAATAAAAATTCCAAACCTTCATTAACATGGTTTTGGCTGAAAAAAACAAAACAAAAACACATTATGAACTCATGCAGCTGTTCAATTTGATTATCGCTCATTAAACAGACATTAAATTAATTGCCGAGAACAGAATGAAACGGAAGGCGAAACAAACTTTCACAGTTAAGAACTGAACTTTAAAAGGCAGGATTAGACACATTAACAAGTTACCATGACCTAAAACAAACACCAACTTCATAATGAGTTGTGAAAATTAAAATATATTATATCTCAACTGTATTTTTTGGGGAAGAAGATCATCTACAAAATGATATTTCCAGCAGTGAGGACAGAATCTGAATGAATTATGGCTCAATATAAGAGACAGTGGAGATAATGAACTGATGACAGACATTAATAATGATCTACAGTTTTATAACTTTAAGATTACTACAACTTTCACTTGACTGAGAATCTAACTAGAATCAAAAATACTGTTTTGAAACAAATATATATACAGTATATGTATATATATATATATATATATGCACTGCCATTCAAAGGTTTGGCATCAGAATTGTTTTTAAAAGTTTTTTAAAGTTTCTTATGATCACCAAAGCTGCATTTATTTGAGCAAAAATATATATATAAAAAACAGTAATATTGTGAAATGTTACTGCAATTTAAAATAACAGTTTTCTATTTTAATATATTTTAAAATGTAATTTATTCCTGTGATCAAAGCTGAATTTTCAGCATCATTACTCCAGTCTTCAGTGTCACATGATGCTTCAGAAATCATTCTAATATGCTGATTTATTATCAGTGTTGAAAACATTGCTGCTTAATATTTTTTTTCTGGAACCTGTGATACTTTTTTTCAGGATTATTGATGAATAAAAAGTTAAAAAGAAGAGCAAAGAACAACAACTACCGTTTAAAAGTTTGGGGTCAGTACGCCTTTTTTTCTTTTTTAAAAGAAATGAATACTTTTATTTAGCAAGGATATGTTACATTGATAAAAAGTGACAGTAAAGACTTACAATGTTACAAAAGATTTCAGTTTAAAAAGTAAATTCTGTTCATCATTTTATCCATCAAAGAATCCTGAAAAATACAAGGAAAAATGTTTGGCAGCACGACTGTTTTCAACATTGATAATAATCAGAATAGAATTAGAATGATTTCTGAAGATCATGTGACACTGAAGACTGGAGTAATGATGCTGAAAATTCAGCTTTGATCACAGGAATAAATTACAGTTTAACAGATATTCACATAGAAAACAGCTATTTTAGATTGTAATAATACTTCATAATATTACATTTTTTTTCTGTATTTGTGATTAAATAAATGCAGCCTTGATTAGAAGAAGAGACTTCTTTCAAAAAGACTAAAAATCTTACTGATCCCAAACTTTTGAACGGCAGTGCATATATTTTTTCTTCTTTTTTTCCTGGTGAAAGGTGACCTATTTTGTCATGCAACAACAGAGGAACTTTGTCACGTTTAGACAATCAATTACTCATATGTGAAGGGTTTATGAGTGTGCGATGAAAATGACTCTGACCTTTGCATTGTTTGCTGTCTGTAGAGTGTTTAAATGTGGACGAGATCTGCGCTGCAAAACAGGTGACGTGTTTCGTGCAAAAGCATACATTTCTATAACAAACCTTACAGTAGTGCACCAATATGCTGTATTATTCACAATGATTTAACAAAATTTAAAGTGAAAGAATAGATATTTAAAAAAAAACTTTACTATGCCATTCAAATCCGTACACATCTAGTCAAATGTCCAACATGAGATGGACAAACATACATGTTTGAGGGTCAGACGTCTGTAAAACTTGCTGTAAGATTACAGATTTTGACTAGGGTGGATTTTACTCATTTTCTTTCCCCAAAATGGCAGTCTGAACTAGTGCAGTGACTTCGTCTTGCAATTCTATGTTTGTTTCCTCCATAACAAAGAGCTTTTGTCAGTGTTTCTGAGATATTTTGCAGCACCGAACACATTTCAGCACTTCCTCATAGCTGGAGACAGTAAAATCCCCATGAAGCCTTTCACACTGATTCCAAGGAACATGAGAGTCTTTTGTCTGGTATGCAAATATATAATTCACGACTGTGGAAATTTCCAGCATTATGTTTAAGAGGTGCTTTTACAGACACGCCTCACAGGTCTGTCATTGTTTGTATTGAGCTGCACAATGAAATAAAGTCAAGCCCTTCAGTGTTATAGTATAAATGTATTTAAAAAGTCAGCATGAAATCAAAATGAATTTACTTTCTTAATGCACTCCCTTTGCCTTACTATGAGTGATTCATTGCTGCATGCTATTCAAACAAACAAACAAAAACAACAAATTTCCTAAATTTCCATTCCTCCCATTATTTTATGATCCAGTGAATGTTGCATTACATTTTTTCCTCATTATGTTTACATGCACTCATTTTCATCAGTCAGAATTTCAGATTCTGAAAATTCTGTTTATATGAACCATAAACAATGCAATACTGGGATTTTCAACTGAGAAAACAGTTGAATTTACATGCCTATTTTATTTTATTTTTTTTACTGTTTATCGGTTATTTCAGATATAACCGATCAACAGAACCGATTAATCTGATTGGTTCGAGCTCAGTCAGATCGACTGAGTTGTTTACATGAAGGATTTTCGGTCAGTTGAGTCATCAATCGGATTATAAACGGACATACATAAACATACTTACTGAAATGCATCAGAAGATAAACTGGTTTTGAATGCCATTTCATGCTGACTTTCAAGTAATTCAGATTAGCGCAACAAACACTGTCAAGCCCGAAAATGTTATTGAAAATGCTACAATGCAGTAATGACATGTATTTCAGGTATGTCTTCATTTGGACTCATGCATTGTGTATTATGAATCATGCATTATACATGAATTTAATATTCCAATAAGTTAAAACAGACATATGACAAATAAAAAGTATAACACTTGTGAATATGGCAATGCTACAGATAAGCTTAGTTTCAGTCAAAGTGCCAGTTTGAAAACACTCGTTGCTTTTGAAATTTCCTTTAGGGTCATTACATGTCAACTCAACCAGAGGTCCACAGCTAAAAATTTTTTTTCCCCCTGTTGAAAGAAATACATAAATGTGGAAGAAAGCAAAAATATTACATGCCATGGATGAATATTCACCAAGTAATCCACTATTTTGTATTTGCATTTGGATTTTGACCACTGAGAATGTGTAGAGTTTAACAATTTACTCATGGAGCCAAATTGAGATCCCAATATCTCTGGAATTGAACTATAAAGCCTTAAAAATGAAAATTACAAAAGAAATTTTTCTTAAAAACCAACATCTAAAAGAACATTAAGATATCTTTAATACTTCTTGAGTTACAGGCATGCAAACCTTGGAAAAAAACACAAAAAGTGCTTTTTCCCCCATTTTTTTGAATGGTCACCATTGACATATAATGCAACAAAGATTGGTAAAGTCAACTGATTTTACTAATAGACCTACTGATATCTGTGTAAAAATAACATCATGATACTGCCATCTTTCTAAAGTCATTTTTCCCCACCTGTAATTTGCCTCCAAAACTCCAAAATTGACATTTTCAAACAAAATAATGGATTACTCAGTAAACATTCATCTGTGGCAATTAATATGTTGGCTTTCATAACTATTTATGTTTGTCTTTCAGAAAAAAATAAACAAAATCAAACATTTTAGCTGGGGAAGTTTCAGAAATTTGGGTGATTTCACACGGAAAGACCCTTAAGTGAAATTGTACGCCTGAACGTTTGTACGAACTCTCAAACTTGCGCCACTTCCTATGCAACCTGATGCAACGAGCTGGCGAAACCCTACAGAAGATCTTCAAACATCTCTTTATCTTGCATGAATGTGCTCAGATGAGCACTGGGAGGAAAAGAAACTCTATTAGTTGCAAGGCAAAGACAATCCCTTCATCTCCACCATCCATCTGTCCAGAAAGATCACACCAAGTCTAGGTTACTCTTCATCGATGAGGTCCTCATCAGGTCAGTTGTGTCCTGCAGGTGGTCTGTCCTCATAACATAAGTCCTCTGGTCTCGCTGTCCCTCCAGAGGGATCCCCGGCAGCCAGTTCTGCCTGTAGTTTGACGTCACGACATCAGAAACGTGTACAGGCAGGTCGGATGAGTTGTTCTGAACGAGGTCAGATAGTAAAGGAGTTCGTTCTCCAGTTAAAACTTCTGAATCCTGGGAAGGGACTGGAGAACTTTGACCAGTGTCACGCTGGAACAAAAGGTCATGAAACTGCAGCTCACCATTTTTAGCCGGTCTAACCGATACCACCAGTGGCCCGCTGCTGTTTTCAGTGTGGCCTATTAAAACTGACTCTGACTCTGGACCGAATGAATCCGAGCTGGTTTCATCTGTCGTGTCATCGGATGATGGTTCGATGGAGATCTGGCCGGGCGAACACATGCTGTAGTGCACAGAAGACTCTGGGCTGTTCTGGACCGGGACGTCCGGTTGATTGCGTGTCCACTCATGGTCACAGTGGTCCTGGGATACATAAGAAGCCTCATTACCCATGATCTCTGAGTTCCGTGGTGCAAAAACAGCCTGCAGTTCGAGCTTCTCATCAAATCCGGACCACACTTCCACTTTAGATGTGTCATCCCGGAAATCTGAATAAAACGCAAGTCTGCTGATCTTTTGCAGGATCTGTTTTACATAGAGAGGAGAGAGCTTCATCATTTAGTCTGTTAGATGACAAGGTTTCAAAAGATGCTGTTTATTTCATTAAAATTAAAATGATCTATATTTCTTATGTTTAGCTACTGTTTCATCTTCTTTGAGTTTTATTCAGTTTTTCCAAAGTTTGAACTGAATCGTAGCCTATCAGATATTTAGAATATATATTTATATTTTTAAGTAAATTCTTGGGACACCAGTCTATACCAGGAAACTGAGACGTTAGGTCAGTTTAATCACTTTTAACTTGATGAAAAGCTAATAATCATTTTAAAATAAAAACACTTAAAAACACAAGTAAAACACTTACTGAAAACCATTTAAATCATAAAAATTTAAAATTTAAATAAATAAATCATCTTAAAATTAAAATCAAAATAAAACACTTACTAAAATCAACTGAATCATAAAATATCACATTAAAATAAATAATTTTAAAACAAAAGCAATCAAAATATAACACTCAAAAATCAATTACAAATTAAGATATTGTCAAATAAAAACAATCAAAATAAAACACTTTAAACAACAAATTAAATAAATCATAAAATGTCAAATCTAAAGAAATAATTTAAAAACAATCAAAATAAAACACCTACTAAAAATCCATTAAATCAGATTTTTTTTTAATTTAAGTAAAGTATTTTAAAATTAAAACTAAAATAAAACAAAAATTTTAAATAAAATAAAACCTAAATAAAAAATTAAATGTAATTGATTAAAAATCAGTTAAATCAGAAACATGTCAAATTAAAATATATCATTGCATTCAAAACACTACAAACTAATTAAATCATAAAATGTCAAATAAAAAAGAAATAAAAAACTAAACACTTACTAAAAACTAATTAAATTAGAAAAATAAAAAATTTAAATAAATAATTTTAAAATAAAACATGCTAACAATCAATTAAACCCTAAAAAATAAATAAATAAAACATTAAAAAAGCCAGTGGTTAATGCATGTCATGTGATCATTAACCAACATCAGAGAACCGCGGACATGCAAATGTGTTGTTAAACTATTGAAATATTTACTCAAAGGATACTTCAAGTACACATTGATTCCTGATTCCATGTGTTTGAAACAGAATGAAGCAGAACTGATTCATCAGACGAGTCGTAGTCCATGGGGAAGTGTAAAAGTGAAAGACGTTTTGTCAATGAAGTCCAATATTGACTTGATTAATCAACATGAGGTTACGCAAGAACCCAAACTGAGCCAATTTACTGAGCAAACATCAACATGCATGATTTATCTTTTCACATCACAAACAGATAATGTTTTAACACAGAGAGCAATGTGCAGATAAGACGCATTCCTTCAGCTCATGAGAAACGTGACGCTCTTGTCAAACAGGACTTTTCACTGCCAGTAAGACGGGATTCCAAGTATGTTTTCAAGTATGTTCACCTGGAATTTCCCACAGTGAATATGACACAATCACTTACCAGCGCTTCCGGTAAGGAGTGCTTTATCTTCACAGACAGCTGGCAAAGCATGATGGTTAGGATGATCAGCAGCAGCAGAGCCAGCAGACCAGGCCATATTAATATATGGAGCCAGGAATTAGGTGCTGAAAGACACAGAAATTACGGATGAATATGAAGTTCAGTCTAGTGTCACTTACAAAATCTTCTGGCAGTCGTATATAATGCTGTGAACACACCCTGAAAATGGGTTTTATTTAATTTCAGCAACTTTGTCTCAATTGCTATCATAACTTTGCATTATACATACTGGCCATTCTTTTTTTTTTTTAAAGAAAGAAAGAAAAAGAAAAATGTATAAATTAATTATTTTTTGGTAATTGTAAATAATGCACATTTTCTGTTACACAATAGTAAACACTGTGAAATATGTTATAATTTAATTTCAACAACTTTGTCTCAAATGTCATTATATGTCATTATTAAATGTCATTATTGTCATTATACTGGCCATTTATGTAAAGTAAAGTAAAGTAAAGTATAAAATCAAATAAAATCAACCAATCAGTAAAAAAAGAATGAATGAGTGAGTGAGTGAATAAATAAATGAATAAAAAAATAGTTGACAATTGTATATAATCCACATTTTCAGTTATATAATAGTAAACACTGTGAAATACCGGTAGGTTATCATTTAATTTCAACAACTTTGTCTCAAATGCTATCGTTATTTTGCATTATACTGGCCATTAAAGTAAAATAAAGTAAAGTATAAAATCATATCAAATCAAATCAAATCAATCAATCAGTAAAAAAAAAATGAATGAATGAATGAATTAATTAATGAGTGAGTGAGTGAGTAAATGAGTGAGTGAATAAATAAATAAATAAATAGTTGACAATTGTATATAATCCATATTTTCTGTTACATAATAGTAAACATCGAAATAGGTTATCATTTAATTTCAGCAACTTTGTTATTACAAAAATAATAAAACAATATTAATAAAAAATAACTAAGTAAAAAAAGAAATAAAAATTAGTAAATAAAAACCAAATAAGCAAATGAATTAAGAGAATGAATGAATGAATCAATCAATCAATCAATCAAACTAATAAATACATTTAAAAATTAATAAAATAAGTAAATAAATAAATAATAAGTAAAAAAATAAAAATGAATAAATGAATAGTTGCCAATGGTATATAGTGCACATTTTCTATTACATAATAGTAACAGAAAATGACTTTGTCTCATTTGCTATCATTATTTTGCATTCTATATACTGGCCATTAATGTCTAAAAAAATTAATAAATAAAATAAATGAATAAAATATAGATAAAAAATAAATAAGCAAATAAAAAGCATAAAAATGAATGAATGAATGAATAAATAAAACAATAAATATGTGTAAATTGTAGATTTAATTAGGGTATTAATGAAGAGAAACAATAAAACATGAACCGTTTTCCTAAATGACGGGTGTTCAGATTCAGTCAGTGGAGTGAGGACTAGTTTTCTACACGAGCACAAACTGTGAATCACCTGAGACAGTCACACAAAAGGAGGCGTTTTCACTGGGACTGGACCGACCGGGATGTGTGAGCGTATATAACACATCACCACAGTACTGCTCGTCTGTTTCCACAAGCCAAATAAACACTGAGCGAGACGTGTCCTCAAATACCTTCAAAAAGACATAACACAGACGTTTAGTTGAACGAGAGGGGACAATATGGAGAGAGCAACTAATAATAATGGAACTGGATGTATACAGCTGAAGGAGAATCAGGAATAATAACCTTTCCCGCCAATGATTCGGGATGTGTCAGGCGAACTGTGTACTTAATGGAGGGCCTCTGGAGACCTTTTCCCCAAAAGCTGATATTCTCAATAGAGCAGCTCCAAGCGGTCATCTGCGGCAAAACCGTCACATTCAGATGGGTTTGGTTTGACGTGACTGACAGCTGCGGTGCTGCAAAAGTGGCTGAAACGAGTGAAACAGAACAGATACAGAGAGACAGATGAGACACAACAGATTTTGAGAAACCATAAGTAAAACTCCTCTACGCTCTCTCAAATTTTGAGATTTTGGAGGCGGGGATCAAGTGTCAGATGTCTCCGCTCCTGTGACTGGTCAGCTGCGCCAACAGAAGTTCAAAATGCTTGATCGTCCCGTGATTCACGTAGACTTCAGATAGTTCCAGGAAGTTCATAGAAGGCCATTGAAATACTGAGTTAGAGAGACAGAACTGCGGTTTTTGGTAATTAGTGGACAATGGGTGTGTAGTATGTACATGTAGATCAATGTTGTTTTTAAAAGATAAAATCTGCTAATATTTGAGGATTAACGTGGTCAACTACCCTTACCTGCCTTTAGGCTAAAATTATCTTGGTTAAAGACCATGATTGCTGTTGTTTTGAAATATATGCATTTTTATGTTCTTAAACTTGCATGTTATTCAAGTGCAATCGCGTATTAAAGGGGTCATATGATGCTGCTAAAAAGAACATTATTTTGTGCATTTAGTTTAATAAAATGTGTTTATGCGGTTTAAGGTTAAAAAAACACATTATTTTCCACATACTGTACATTATTGTTTCTCCTCTATGCCTCGCCTTTCTGAAACATGTCGATTTTTACAAAGCTCATCGGTCTGAAAAGCAAGGTGTGCTCTGATTGGCCAGCTATCCAGTGCGTTGTGATTGGCCGAATACCTCAAGCGTGTGACGGAAATGTTACGCCCCTTACCATATTGTGATGCCCTGTCCCGGCACGACCAGACAACACCAATAAAACCCATTACAAACGAGGCATTCGTTGCATCCAGTGGGGACATAATTACGGATTATAATGACTTATACTGTCTTTTTACGCGTTGCGTTGCATCAATTATTACCCCCTCTCCTTGAAATCGCTACCTGATTGCCTAATCCTGACCCCTCCCCCACACCTAACCCTAAACCTACCAATACTAGGGGGTAGTAATCTGGCGGGGTTCAGAATTGGGCACAACACCGGCATTGTAGTCTACTCTACCAGGATCAGGAAACAGTCCTCCATAAAATGTGCTGCACACATCTGAATATTTGGGTTGAACTGTTCTGGAGCAGTGTTGTAAATACAACTTAACCACTGATTTCTAGTCGTGTCCATTTTTGGAAGACCAAACAAAGTA